CCCCAAAACCCCAAAACCCCAAAACCCCAAAACCCCTTTTTAGATGATTTTTATTGTTTTAATTTAGAACTTGTATTTTTCACAATGGATTTTACGATTGGAGAACTCTGTTGCTTTGCCTAGATCCCCTCTGACCCTGTAATCAATGATTCTCTTCTTTCTTGTACGGTTCTAAATTAGTTTTAGGAAAATTTTCAAATTTTAATAAAGCAAAATATATATGGCTGTAATGTGTAATATCAATGATAGGTATTAATTCGTACCTTGAATTTGTCATTTCTCACAAAATGATTATCTGATTTAGTAGACCCATTATACAAAGTATTCTTTGTTCCAGCCCCTTTTACAATTTGCTTGGCAAGATCTCTCTTAGAGAATTCAAAGACCTCAGGAACATCTACAGGATTCACAAGATGATTCATATTTCCTTCCAATTTGTAATACTTCTTGTTCTGCTTCTGATTTCTCCTCTGAAGGTTAGCTTCTTTATCTTCTTCATCTTCAAATTCATCCTTCATCACCTACAAAACCCATGAGAATATTCTTATTTCTAACTTACCATTTTACTGACATCTCCTTTAGTCACAAGCTTTATCTCTTTTTCTTTTTTATTTTTCTCTCTTTCAGAAGCTATCATCGAATCGACAATCTTGTCCATGTGTGCATGCATATTATTCTTCTTATTTTTCTTCTTTCTTTGATCTTTCTTATCAATCCTCTCATAATGTGAGTTATCAGTATAACCTTTGTACTGAGGCATGCTATTTCTTTCGTCTTCAAAAACAGCTGCTTTGTTGTCTTTGTCAGTACCATATTGAGTATTTTCAAAGTTGATCTTTCTGTAGCACAAATCTTCCTTTATTCTGGTATCAATATGTTTCTTGTTCTTAGAAATCTTCTTGTTGGTCTTGTACTTCGACTCTCTTTTTACCATTGTGAATGATATTTATTAATCTCCAACTAATTTTTTAACTTTGCCATTCAATGTAGCCAATTAGAAGCGGGGTTTTGGGGTTTTGGGGTTTTGGGGTTTTGGGGTTTTGGGG